CGAGTGTAAAGTGCGGGTGGGGCGGGGGGCGCGGTGGGAGGTGTGTAAGAATTTAAGGGAGGAAGAACATGTCTTGCTAAGAATTCATATAACTATTTTGCCATAGGTCTAGAACTTCTACAATTAGAAAAAAGTATCTGAAATTTATAAAAGGCATTTTTCTGACTTTTTGTTTCCTTTTGCTATCTTTATTAAAATGCAACCAAATTCAGACCCTAGCTAACAAAATATCTATTCTAAAAGTATTTCACATTCTGTGACAAGAATCTCACAGAAAGGAATGGTGATTTCATATCATACTAAAAGCCTACGTGGACTGGTATCTTATCCCTGATGGCGAATGGCTACTTAGAGAAAATAGAAAATGTTTAAGAACTAAGAACAATCCCTCTTTTGGCATGGTGTTCTAGAATACATGTAACATAGGAAAGCTTTTTAAAATATTGTGCAAGTCATCGAACCTAAGGTAAAATAACTGTTACAATGCAGTCCTCCTCTGTCCTTTCTATTGCCCTAACAGCGTATACTTAATACAGATATCTGCTTGTAGCAAGAATGGCTTGTCCGTAAAAAAGGAGGACAACTGCAAGCAGCAATCTGTATCCCATACGAAGTATTTCCCATCTTTCAAGCGAAGGGCAGCTAGTCAACAGTACTGATTTTATTATGACAGCTATGCAGGTAATATCAACAGCACATCAGCACCTCAGTCACAAATACAGATCTCCCTTCATTTACCTCTTTGAGTGTTCTCAATCCTGCTTTACTCTTTAAATACGATTTTAGCAGGTTTTGAAAACGCTGCATGCTCAGACTAAACCACAGCGCACAAAAAAACACAGACCAGCACGCAGAAAATGTTACCTTTTGCTTGCTCCTGTTCAGTAGGACTGCTGGGGACAAGAGCACTGGATCCAAAGGCAACAGGAGGAGGAATAACCAGGCCTGAAGAGTCACTGCATACCAGGAAAAGGGAACATGGAAAAGAAGATCATACGTCACTAGAAAATGCATTAACTTCTCCACAAATGCAGCTCCAGCTTGTCAAAATAGGAGTCTTCTCATGAAAGAAGAGTGTCAGGTGTTCACTAGCAGGAGACTTGAGAAATGGCCATGACCACACGGGCATCATTAGTTCATTTATCGCAAAATAAACCCATGCTCCTCTCATAGAGCAAAATTAAAACATTCATAGAATCATAAGGGTTGGAAGAGACCTCAAAGATCAACTCCAACTGTATACCCAATGCCACCATGCCTGCTAAACCCACTAAACCATGTCTTGAAGCGCCACATCTAAACGTTTTTTGAACACCTCCAGGGATGGTGAGTCCACCACCTCCCTGGGGAGCCCGTTCCAATGCCTCCCAACTCTTACAGTGAAGAAGTTCTTCCTAATATCCAGCCTAAACCTCCCCTGGTGCAACTTGAGACCGTTTCCTCTTGTCCTTGATTGTTTAAAATAAATTTCAAGTCCTTGAATAAAGGAAAGAGTAGTGGAAATGCACTACTGCAATTAAGCTATTGCAATAGTTTTGGGATTTTTTGCTTACACGGAGTGACTCTCCTGCACAAGGGATCCCTGTCCAGAGAGCTGCAGGAGTTGCAGACTGCGGGCAGGGGTGCATGCCAGAGAACTTCCCTCTTCCATCCTGGTTAGTGGACAGCCACTCCCTGCAGCGGTTTTGAACAGAAGGAAGTAAGATTAGAAATTTGGCCAATAACCAAGTTGATTAGAAAATTCTGAGGAATGATATTCACATTACTGCACAGTTACTTCCCAGGTAGGCACGGACAAGCTGATTTTCACACAGAGATGGAGAAGGACTGCACAAGAAAGTTCAGTATGTGAAATGTCAGCATAATACAGTTAAGATGAAAAAGGTTAAGTCTGTACCTATAGAATAGATTTTTATCAGGCCAGACTACGTAAGTCTTCCTACTTGGGAATTTTAAAAGACAAATCCCCAATGGCTCCAATATCAGCACATTTGATCCAGCACTAGAATGCAAATACAGGTAAGGTTCTTACAAGAAAACACATCTCGCATTGATCACTGACTCCATGTGAGTAGGATGTTGCTATTGAACCTTCTGGCTATACAGGGTTCATGCACAAGATCATACTGGTATAGATACAGTTGTGCACAAATTAAAACTAAACAAAAAGCATAAAGTGAGACTTCATTTAGCTCATGCTTTATAAACTGTGACAAAGTTGCCTTTCAAAACTTTATTTTCTAGGCCTTTCACTATTAAGATTGTTAAGAACCTTTCTATTTTTTTATTAGCCTTTCAGTTGTGGATACCAAAACCATACATAGACATCCTCCTAGCAAGACATACAGCGATGATCTCTCTCCTGATCCCATTTCATGTAATCTCTTCTCTTACAGGGAAGGAACATTAACCTAGATGACAAATAAGACTGACCACAATTGTGGTACAAAGATTTCGATTGCAGGATCCTGTCCTGTCCCAAAGAGGAAGCCCAGTTCAGAGGAGTAAGGTGGAATGTTTTGCCAAAGTTACTCAGCATAAGAAAGTCTACAATACTTGCCTACACTACTTATCCACACTTCAGATTGTGCGTCAATACAAAGGGTGAGCATTATTGACAGTTTCAGAAGAGGGTAAAAGGGGTTTTTTTGGTTTTGTTCTTCAAGAGGCACAGAAAGAAAGGAAATTAAATGTATTTAACGAGCCAGTGTAACTGTTCTAACACAAAGTGACATTTAGACATTGCTCCATAGCATAGTGAAAGAGAGTGTGGCCTTTCATTTCCAAAGAGTTCTCAATTTTAGTGGAAATTACATGACAAATACTCACAGCACTCTGCACCCTAAAACACTACATGCCTAAAAAGAATCAAGTAGGGATGATGATTATGATGATCTCTGAGATGGACATTTTAGCTCTGCTTGTCTATTGTTACCTGTTGCATTATTCTCAGGAAACATCTCTTCCTGAGTTGACAAGAGATCCAACTCCTCGTGAGCAGATTCAAGGGATTTCTCAGTTTTAGTGGGATCACAGACAGGCATTTGTTTCCTGGTATGCTCTTCTGCTTCCTGCAGAGTTCTGGAAAAGCAAGGCACAGTCACTGACTTGACAAATTCGAAGGACGAAGCAATACCACAACATGGTAAAGAAAATTTACCAGCACAGATGAAAGGTATTCAAAAAAAAAAGAAAAAATAGACAAAAAGGAAGACTGACTTCTCTCTCCTGACAAAATAACATGTTAATCCTTGACAAGTCACATTTTCAGAATTGTTTTCTACCAATCTGAGTGATGCTTAAATGGAATGCAGATTGTTCTACTGACTTCTATTCAACGTGGATCCTAGAATTTTTTTTTCACCTCCTTTTTAATCTTATTTTGTGCAGAATATGACAATACAAGATGAGCTAAATATGACTCTATCTGGCACAAAAGATATATAGAGTTTTCAACAAACTGAAGTTTCACATTTAAAAATAATTAAAACTACAAAGCTTGCAATAGCCAATACTCAAAAGCATCCTGGAATAGCCTCCACTTAGCCTCTAGATTTCTCCTGTGAAGCCAAAGCCTATGCTGCAGTTATTAAGTGATCCTGAAATAACTTCTGTGACTTAAACTGAATTATTACTTTTAATATATTCCAGTCATTTAAGAAAATTATTAGTATATTTTATTATCTTCTGCACTCTCCCCTAAAAATAAGCTTATTGATATCTTTGCATCTAAGAGTTTGACACCACCTCTTTTCTCAGCTAGGAATGGTGAAAGCACTCCTTAGTCAGCACTGCTGCAAAAAGGTCTCATCAGTACTTCATCTTTCCCTTCACTTTTCTCTTTTGCGTTGAAGCCTGAACCCTCCTACATCTAAAAATCCAGTAAAAAAGACACAAATCAACTTCCAGAATGTTAGCAAGAGACCTACAAAGAATACGGACTGGATTACCTTTCAGACTTCTCTGGCTCGCCTTCCAAAGCAGTATGTGCTTCTGTGCCGGAGACAGTCTCCGTGCTGTCTCCACGCAGTTCTAGCAAGAGACAGAAAAAACAAAATATTTGTTACTTGAGTCACCTGGATTAGTATACAAAGAGAAGAAAGTGCAGTTCCATAAATTACACAAATATCAAGACAAGCTTTATAGGAGAAAAAAATTAATGTTGAACTATCAAGGACAACAACAACAACAATGGACAAAATAAGGTTTTTACCAGGGAGGGAATTCAATATCAGATTGTCTGAACATTCTGGAAACAAATTAGGAAAGAGAGGTGCAAGAATCAATGACAGCACTTGGAAAGCTACAAGAAAACAAATGAACTAGCCCAAAGGAAAGAGAAGGCAAAATTCTTTCCAACTACCAACGAGCTGTGAACTTCATTTTTGAAAACTACTAATACTGTCTTTCCTGTCAAAGAAACATAACATCTACAAATTAAAGAAACCAGAGAGAACTGACAGATCAACAAAAGGTCATACAAGATCATTTTCACATACCATCCTTAGTATCATTCTTCACAAGTCTGGAAGAAGGGACAGCAGCTCCAGGGTGAAACTGATGCCTAGCATCTCCTTCATCGGGCATGAAGTCACTCTCAAAATCCTGGCTCTGTGAGAGCTCTAGAGCTCCAAAATGCAGCTGTGACATGCCTGTATCTAATACCAAACATCCATAACTAATATATATACGCCACCCCAAAAAATTAAAGTCAAAGGACATCTATCACTTTACAAGGGCAAAAGATACATCCTCTAACATGTAAAGTATTCAGGCTGCTGCTGAAACTCTGAATAAACTAACAGACTCCGGTCTCAGCTGTACTAATTAAAGATATGGTAACGGAACAGAGAGAGTGGCCATTAACTCAGAAACCAGTGTTAATCACCAAGGTCTTACGTAATGCCACTGGGTACTGCAGCAGATTTGGACTCTGCGATGAGAAAACAATCCCAATACATAGCCTGTGCCTAAAAGTCCTTCGATGACAAGAACCATTACGTCGGGAGTTCTTTAATCTGCATAAAAAGGCTCCATCTCCTAATGATCACGATGCACCCGTGCCTCTTCCAAGCCATTTCCTGTCTCCAAGATCCTTGTTAACAATGAGATGAAATCACCTCTTTTTTTTTTTTTTTTTTTTTTCTCCAAACACCAAAGCATACAAATCAACTTCTGGAAGAAGATGCCAATGCCTGACCCATTATTACCGGCACAACTACCCGTAGTGAGACAAGTGAGGCAGCTGAACTGAAAAACTATACAGATGGTTAATCAGATTCACAGCCCCAAGAAGACACCCCAAGGAGTTACCTTCTACACACGGTGAAGTAGTACAGTCCT